AGCCCTGCCTCCCTGCCTGCCTCGGGGCACTCACTCCCGTCTTGGCTGCATTTAGGCAGCACAGGAGGGGGTGCGAAGCAAAGGGAGCAGTTTGATCCGCCTTCTAAAAAGTCACACACACCCCAATCCTGATCGGAGACTCGCCGGGCTGTTCCGCTTTCCCGCCTGCATCCTGTCTCCCCCCCAGCAGCATCCTCTCCCGGGCGGGGCCAGGACACCAAGGGCTCCCTGCCCAGAACCCACCCGACTGCCCCAACTCCCCACGCGGGTGCTTGGCAAGCCCGACCTGGGAGCGGTTTAGTGCGGAGAAGGAGAATGACTCCCTCGGCTCCCGGCTCTGTGGATCCGCGGGGGGGAGGGGGGGAGCGGTTCTCAGCAACAGTCCCAGCACCCCACCCCCAGGCGCGACGGGATGGGTGGGAGGCATCCAGCGCCCCGCGAAAGAAAGAGGGGGAGGGGCGAGCAGGGACAGTAGTTCTGGCGCGGAAACGAACGCGCGCCTCTGCGCCCGCAGCTGGGGTGGGTGTTCGGAAGACGCACCTCCCCAGGGTGCGGCAATGTCCCCAGAGCCGCCTGGCGCTCGGCAACCGCAGGAGCTCGGCCCCCAACCTTGGAACGGAGGAGCGTCCCGAACGACCGGCCCGAACGTGGGGCCGAGTCCTGCGGAGCACTGGCCACGGCGGCGTGGGCCCCCTCGCCGGCCGGGAGTAGGGACGCGGCTGGGGGCTCGGGCAGCTGGGGCCGCGCAGCGCGGAGGAGCCGGGAGCCGAGCCCGCGGGGCACCGCCGCTCACTCACCGAGCCCGCCGAGCTCCTCCTCACAAGAGTACCAGATGCCGGTGTGGAAATTCCTGAACAGATAGCGGTCGTCGCCAGTCTCCCAGCTGTAGAGCGCGCCGCCAGGGGGGCTGTTCCCCGCGGCGGCGGCGGCGGCGGCGGCGGCGGCGGCGGCGGCGGCGGGGGCGGCGGTGCCGTTGGCCGTGGCGTTGGCGCCTGAGTTGGGGCAGTTGGCGCGCCCGCCCTGGCCGCAGGCGGGCTTGGGCACCCGCTGCGTGCCCTGGCACCAGTACGTGGTAAGGAAGGCGGTGGTGGCGAAGAGCAGCGCCAGCAGGTTCAGGGCCACGGCCAGGAGTGCTCGGCCGCGGCGACTCGTCTTCATGCCGCCCGCGCCGCCGGGACCGCGCCGCCGGGGAGCTCCGCGCGCGAAGTTGGCAGCTGGCGCCCCGCGTCAGCGGCCGCTGCCCGCCGCGCCCTGGCGCTCGGGTGCCTGCGATCGACGGCAGCAGACGCGGCGCGGGCCCATGCCCCCCCCCTCAGTGGGGGCGCGGCGCGGGGAGCGGGCGGCGGCGGCGGCGGAGCGGCTCCGACGCGCCCGGAGCCCGGAGCCCGGAGCGCGAGTGCACCTCGGCGAGGAGCCTCTGGCGCCTGGCAGCGGCCACGGCGCAGGGACGCGCGCCCTTCCGTGGGGAGACACCTGCAGGCGGCTGGCGACACTGTTCCGGCTCCCGCCCGCAAGGGGAGAGGGGGCGCCCCAAGCCGGGCGCGGGCAGGGGACCCGGATAGATGGGACGCCCCCGAAAGCGACCCGCACTCACGTGGAGGATCTAAGAAGCAAGGAGAATGCCAGGCAAGGCGCTCTCGGAGAAAGAGGCTTCCGACCGGAGACGTGGGGCATCAAAACCGGCAGGGAGGGGGCGCCCTACAGAAGACCTAGAAAGGCCCTGCCGGGTGAGGCTCGGGCTCCCCCACGAGGAACATGGACCAGCAGGACCCCCTCCAGGAAAGAGCCCCAAAGGGTCTGGGCTGCAGTGTTCGCTGGGCTTCCCACAGCCGGACAGCTGCAGGGCCTTCTGGAAGGCATGCCTCATGCTGGACCTGGAGTCGCAGGACCGCTCAGGACAGGGGTCCCCCCAAGAATGCAGTTAAGGGCTTGTGCTTCCCCCTGGGGGCTGCCCAGGAGGACTTGGCCTGTGGAAACCAGCTGGAAGGGCTCCCCTGGAAGGACGAAGTGGCAGTCACCTGGGGTCCCTGTCAGGGCATGGAACAGCAGGAAGGGGGGCAAAGAAGGGCCCCAGACAGAATGCCAAGGGTTGGGTGTGACAAATGGGGCCTCCCCACGCAGGCCGTCCCCAGCTGAGATCCTGAGCAGCATGACCCAAGGAGGCCCCATGACAGACACGAAGTTGTAGTTACTAGGCAGGGTGCCCCACAGAGGCTGCCAACCCCAAATCTTCAAGGCTTGGGGTGGGGGCAGAATGGTCAAGAATACTGACATGGGATCAGGCACATTGGAGGCTTAACCAACCATGAGTTGTGAACACGCTTCTTAACTCCTTCAAGCCTCAATTGTATCTATAAAAGGGAGGAATGTTGGGCTGTTGAAATGGGATCGTGTCTGTAAAAAGCACTTGGCACTTAGTAGGCACTCAATAAATGCTAGGCACTATTGTTAACATATGAACCAAGGGCAATCGACCAAAGTCCCCCAAACCTTTGCAGATCTTGGTGCCAAGCGGGATTGTCCGACGGTGAGCCACGCCATCCACACCTGTGCTCTCACAGACCACGTTCTCTGAAGTTCCTTCACCCTGCCCTACGCCTGGTGCCTGGGGGCCCAGAATGTACAGCGATTAATTGCATATTAATTGCAAGAGTTCATTTGAATTCTGCCCAAGCTGAGAACTGCTCCAAGAAACTGCCACTTGTGGAGTGGTGGGGCTTGCAGAACTCAAGGTTAAGGGATTGAGAACTGCCTTATGCCGGTACGTCAGCCCAAGCTCCCTGTCAGCGGCTGCTGCTCTGCCTAGGGGTAGGTGAGAGTAATCGTGGCCCATGTGCCTGGCAGGAACCGTAGGAAGTAAGGTCGGCCAGGGGTCCCTGGACTCATTTATTCAAACCTCTTTCAGGCCCTAGGCAAGGTTTTCCCTCCTTGAGAAGGAGGACCTCCATGCAGTAACGGTGGCGTTGAGGGTATTGGTTGACAAAGAAAATATATTACAGCCAGAGGTACAAGGAATCCAGTAACACTTTTAAACAGGCGTCCAATATTCATCGTAGATGTATCTGTCCACGTTGGAAAACCAGTCCCTCCAAGGTAGGCTTGAGACAGTGGTTGGTGTGCATGTGGGCAGGACCCACAAGCTAGGAGCCCTGTCCAGTGCATACAAAGCCAGGAGAGCCCATGTGACCTATGTCCCAGGGTCACACCCTCAAAAATACTCAGAGGAAGACAGGGAGGTTTGAAATGACCATCTAAGACTCTCTTCCACTCACAGATCACCCACTGGATGCTGGACACGGGGAGAAAAGAAAGCACAACATTAAAAAGAGTGTCGTAGAGGGTGCAGGGGTTAAGAGCCAGGGAGGAAAATAAAGCCAGGAAGGAAGGTTTTAAATGAAGGCTTCAAGGAGAACTTGCTGAGAAGGTGACATTGAAACAAACACCTGAAGGAGGGTGGGAACAAGCCACAGAGACATCCCAGGAAAGGAGCTTCTGGGAAATGGGAGCAGCCAGTGCAAAGGCCCTGAGGTAGGGGATAACTGAGAGAACAGTGGGCCAGGGGAAGAGTTGCAGAGTTCGAGATTGGAGGGGTGATGGGGGGGAGGGGACCGATCATGGTCTGTGTAGGTCATTGCCAGTTCTCTAGCATTTACTCTGAGTGGGGTGGAAGCCTGGGGAGGTTCTGAGCAGAGGGACACAGGATTTGACGTAGGGTGTAATGGGCCCACTCCAGCTGCTGCGTCAAGAAGGGTGGAGACATAGAGACGAGCTAAAGGCCAGTGAGTGAATTGGGCAAGGCATACAGCAGCTCAGGCTCAGGGGCGGGGGATATTGTGTGGGGGGGTGGCAAGGGCAGTGGAGGTTCTAGGTCGATTTTAAAGGCTGATTCAGCAGAATTTGTTCCAAGATCGAACCCGGGGTGTGAAAGACGACGTCGAGGTGTTTGGCAGGAGTTCCTAAAAGGACAGAGCTGCCATTTGCTGAGACGGAAGGCCTGCTGGGGCACAAAAAAGATCAGAAGTTCTGACCGCTTTTGCACTCGCTGGGCCTTGAATTGAAGCCAAAGATAAGGATGGGGGTGGACGTTATGCTGCTTCGAGTAGTCAAACAAATGAATCCAAGCTCACTAGCCAGCCCCTCGCATAGGATGGGTGTTTGTAGCTTCAAATAGTGACACACTTGGAAGTACCTTGGGGGTGTGGACAGATGTGAAAGAAAACTTAATTCGTGACACGTGTCACGACAGGAAGACAGACTTCATTCAAGGGACCTCTGCAGAGTTTCACCACCGGGGAAAAAAGTGGGCTGGAATCTGAGTCCAACAAGGACAAGGGCCAAGGAGCAGGTGGCGTCAGTGGACGGAACATGAGTAGCAGGTAAGCCTCAGGGTTGGGGGGGTTCTGGCTAAACCCACCTGGCAGGACTCTTGCTGACAGCACCCCAGGTGGGTCAGATACTGAGGGTGGGGAACGAGGAAGCTGACTGGGCTTCCAGCATGAGGGATTCTTAGCAAACTGACCAGTAGGATTCTTGCTAAAACTGGACCAAGTGGACCAAGGACAGAGCCCAGGGTCAGGGACTGGTTGGGCAGAGGGCTTAGGGAGCCTGGCTTGGGGTTGGTAGAGGAAAATCTTGGTTAAGGGTTGAAGGGGGTAGGATTTGTTTAGAAGGCTCGGTCCCCTTCTCTTTAGCCACTGTCACAGGCCAAAGCCTGCCATCCCCTGCTAGTCCCTGCCCACCCTCTGCCCAGCTCTCCTCTCCTGCCCTTGGGGCCAGAGATCAGCCCAACGTGCTTCTGCCTAACCTCCTCCAGGTACCCCCCATGGCCTGCCCCTCAAGTCTAAATGCCACTCTAGGTCCTGCAGAACTGGCTTTGCCACATCTCCAGCCCCTTTGCCCACCTTCCCCAGGGCCACCAGCACACCAAATTACCTTGTAGTACCCCCTGCTCAGATGGCACCTGCAGCCTCCACCTGCCTGGGATGCCCTGGCTCTGCCCAGCTCCTGCACCCTTCAGAATGTGTTTAAACTCACTGCACTGCTGAGCCTGCCCNGTTGCTACTCTATAACTGTAATTTTGCTACTGTTATGAATCGTCATGTAAGTATCTTTTTGTTTTCGATGGTCTTAGGCGACCCTTGTGAGAGGGTCATTCGACCCCCAAAGGGGTCGCGACCCACAGGTTGAGAACCGCTGCTCTAGACACTACCCCCAGGCTGGGGACAGCAATGGACAAAACTGCTCCAGCCTTGTCCTCACAGTGGGACATCCTGTGGGGACAGGGGACAAAAAGCTAGTGACCCAAGGCAGAACCCTGAAAATGTCAAGTTGTGCCAAGTGTGATAAGGGAGATAAAAGTGGTGATGAGATACAAAGACCCGGAGACCCTGTCTCCCAAGGGGGAGCCGCAGGTCTTCTCTCCAGAGGACCCTGCCTGGGAGGCCAGGCCCAGGAGTCCCATGGGGGCTGAGAAGGAGCGGCCAGGAGGGGTGTGGGGAAGGGAGGCAGAGGGAGCAGCCTCCCAGCATTTCCTGTACACCTTCTGCCCTCTGATCTTTCAACCAGTGAGGCCAGTGACCTCTTCAGGGCAAACTATGGGTGGTGGCCCCTCCGCCCACTCTGTCTACATTGGAGTACACGCATACACCACGACTATGCGTGTACAGAGGAGTTTTAACCTTGGGGGGGAAGGTCAATTCATTCAAGAGCGTCCCCACACCTGTACTTGGAGGTACCGGGT